GGAGATGGGGAAGAAACACTTTGCTCCTGGCTTCAGATTGGTGCAGCTTTGGTCATTGCGGCCAACTGGGGAGTGAACCAGTGGATGGAAGACCTCTCTCCCTCTCTCTCTACCTCTGCCTCTCTGTAACTCTGCCTTTCAAATAAATAAATATTTCAAAAAGTATAATGGAACTTTAAAAAATGATAGTAATTAAATTGCATTGATTTAATTTAATTTCAATCTACACTAGGGAGAAAGGAAATATACTTTATTCCCATCAACAGTTATATTTACTGGTTTGTGTGTTAGTCAATATTTATTATGTATAGCTATTACTTTCTGCTTTTTGTTTTTTACTAAACAGATACATACCTCTAAGTGTTCAGCTTCATATTTTTAAAAAATAAAGTCAAAATTATTGGAAATTTATTATTAAGATACTATCACACATAAATTATTGAATTCTTGAGCAATCTCAATTTTAAACAAGAATAAAGACAAAAATTCTTGGAAAATTAATCCTTTAGTTACCTATACCAAATAAACTACTGAATTTTTTAGCAAACTCATATCTGTAAAAGAATAACAAATACACTATTTCAAATGTAAAAATATGATATTTCCTCTGCTGAAGAATAGTGTAGTAATACTCTATTAACAGTGGAAAAATTAGCATAATATGTTTGTGATTAGAAAATGATTGTAAATTATTATATCAACCTATTCTGTGCAAACATGAATATCAGTATTTTATGAAATAACAGTAAATTAACTTAAGTATCAATATTTACTTATCTTGGAAATGCTTTATCTTTTAATTGAGTTTTTAAAATATACTTACTTGAGAGGACTGGAAGAAGGGAGAATGAGTTTGAGAGTGACAAAAAGAGAAAACTCCCATCTGCTAGCTCATTTCAAAAATGCCTAAAGTTGTCCTCAACTTGTGCTGAAACTAGGAATCAAGAACTCAATCCACATACCCCATTTGGGAAACAGTAACCTAACTACCTGGTCCATCACTACTGTACCCAGTTATCTGCATTAGCAGAAATCTATAATTTAGAGCACAAACAGGTACACCCCAGTATGGGATGTGGTAGTCTTAACAGTTAAGACTAATTTCAACCCTAATTGAATATTTTAAGAAAAAATGGCTATTTATTTGAAAGACATAGGTGATATCTCATTCTGTGGTTTACTGCCCCAGAGCCAGCCAGCAGGAATCTGGGAACTCAGTTCACTTAGCATACAATAGGTATCAGGAACTCAATTATTTGAGCCATCAACACTGCCTCCCCAGATCTGCATTAGTGAGAACCTGGAGTCAGAAGGCAGTTATCCAACCCGGGTACTCAAATATGGTTCAAGGTTTCATAACTGCCAAGCCAAATGACCACCCCCTCTCCATTTCTCTCTCATAAGTCCTTGCAATGTTCTCACTTTGCCTGAAATACTCTCCTATATCCAACTTCATGACTTATATCAGTTATCACCTCCTTCACTGCTTCCATGTATCTTCTCTGTGCTCCAGGTTTCATTATTTTATACACTCTTAATGTTATATGTCTGCTACCATCAACCATACTGAAAGTCAAAGGTATATGCTTTCTTTTAATATATATGAACAGCACACTATTTCAGTGAATATTTACTTAATGCCACTTTGTGTCTAGCATGCTTTTAGGTGCTGGAGATACTGCAGCTGGCATTCTAATAGGGGAGGACAATGAACAAGGTGAATTCCATGTGAGATGTTAGTGAGATGGTAATGAGAACGATAAACCAGAAAAGAGGGAGAGAGGAAGAGTTGGAAGGGGTCATGAGTTTACCTAGGGTGGCCATAGATGGTTATGACCTTAAAGGCAGTATTTAGAAAGGAGATGAAAGCAGTGAGAAACATGTTGCCTGTAGGAAGAAATCATTAACTCAAAAACCTCAGAAGCCTTTTATTAAGATTTATTTATTTTATTATTTGACAGAGTTATGGAGGCAGATAAAGAGAGAGAACCCTTCTATCCACTGGTTCACTCCCCAAATGGCTACAGCAGCTGGAGCTGTGCTGATCTGAAGCCAGGAGCAAGGAGCCAGGAGCTTCTTCCAGGTATCCCATGTGGATGCAGGGGCCCAAGGATTCAGGTCATCCTCCACTGCTTTCTCAGGCCATAGCAAAGAGCTGGAGGAGAAGTGAAGCAACCAGGATTCAAACTGGTGTCCATATGAGATGCCAGCACTGCAGGTGGCAGCTTTACCTGCTAGGCCACAGCACTGGCCACAGAGATCTTTTATTAAGAAAAAAACCTGCACAATTGAAAATAATGGCCTTTAAAATCAAATGTAAGGCCGGCGCCGCGGCTCACTAGGCTAATCCTCCGCCTAGCGGCGCCGGCACCCCGGGTTCTAGTCCCGGTCGGGGCGCCGGATTCTGTCCCGGTTGCCCCTCTTCCAGGCCAGCCCTCTGCTGTGGCCCGGGAGTGCAGTGGAGGATGGCCCAGGTGCTTGGGCCCTGCACCCCATGGGAGACCAGGAAAAGCACCTGGCTCCTGGCTCCTGCCATCGGATCAGCGCGGTGCGCCGGTCGCATCGCGCTGGCCGCGGCGGCCATTGGAGGGTGAACCAACGGCAAAGGAAGACCTTTCTCTCTGTCTCTCTCTCTCTCACTGTCCACTCTGCCTGTCAAAAAAAAAAAAATCAAATGTAAGATTAACATCAAGGCTATGAGTGGTGTATTATAGTGTGACATAGAAATAACAATCAAAAGGAGGAAAAAATAAGACCAGATGTCCTCAGAAACCGCATTGGAAATGAACTTTCTTTCAGGAGAAACTCCAGGCTCAGATAGTGTCATCACAGTTTTTAAACTGTGACCTTTCTTACTGTGCAAGACTTTGTCTCATTTCTCTCACTGGAAGAAGTTCATTTGGCACACTGAGAAAACCGTCATCTGCAATGCCTTATCCCATATTGTAGAAATGGCAATATGGCAATATTTTTGCCTTTTCTTCCTTCATTTTATATTTCCACCACAATAGTGACTCCTTTAATTTAAACTAAAAACCATAGAGGAATGTTCCTGAAAGGATGGCAGCAAATTAATGGAGGTGTCAAAGACTGAGGGACAGGTTGGGTGGGGGATCAGCAAATCATCTTGACTGGGCTCTTGAACTTGCTGGTGGCTTGGAGCTGCAGCTGATAGGCCATTGGATGGATGGATCTTGACACTGGAGAGCCTGAGCACAAACTGGTTGGCAGGTCACTTGGGATGCACCATGAGAGCATGTGAGGGAGACCAGTGCTGAAGTACGCAGCATCTGTGTGATGGTGACTTGATGACTTGGGTATGTACATTTCCATGCACTTGGGGCAGGAAGTTTGAGGACTGGCAGCTCTGCCTCTCATCCAGTTCGCTGCTAATGCACCTGGGAAAGCAGTAGAAGATGTTCTAAGTACTTTGCCCCCTGCCACAAAGGTAGGAGATGAGATGGTGTTTCAGGCTCCTGACATTGGCCTGGTTCATCCTTGGCTGTTTTGGCCATCTGGAGAGTGAATTAGAGAGTGAGGGTGCAAGAGCAGTCACTAGTTATCTCTTTCTGTTACTCACTTTCTCTTTCAAATAAATAAATACTTTTTAAAGGAAAGTTCATCTAGAAATTAAATCCATTAAAATGAATATTCATATCCTTAAAATAAAATTTGTTTAAATCGTTTGAATTTCTTGCATCCTGTATATTTTATACAAGAATACTCATACCTTTTTTCAACTGAAAATATTATTATATCCCACTTATTGGTTAGAAAACTGAGAGAGATAGTACAACCTTTTCCATAATTATTACAGATCAAATTAAAACATGCAGATATATTATTTTGCCCATGAGATTTGAAGCCAACATTTTTCATTGAACAAAGGGTCTGATTAATTCAATATTTTGAGTTACCTTTTAGTGTTCTGGGAGACTTTTGTCACTATGATTTTTGCCCCTGAAAAGGGGAAAGCCTGCAGAGAAAATTGCCACAGGCACTCCTTAAAGAGAATTGTTAGAACTCTGTGTCAGTTAAATCTAAAGAGATTTCTGGTCTGATTCAGTGTGTTGAAAAAGAGAGCATAATTTCTATTCCAACATGCTCAGCCTGAAGTTTTCTCCATGGCCTATGGGAATCAGAGAAAGACTACTATTTTTGCCATTCCTTTCTGCATTCTGACACTGTACATGCATCTCTCAGCCAGATCTTCCCAGCTAAAATCTATTTCTTTTCATTTAGTCTGCCCAAATTGTAATCTGCCCAAATACTATATATTCATGATTAAGATGTCATACACATCATCCTTTTGAAATTAAGACTTTTAATTTCAGACTCCTTAAGTAGAATTTGAACAATTATCACTTTCTGTGGAAGTTAGTATAATAAGCAAGGGGGAAATTATGAATATGGAAGACGTTAAAAGGCTTAAGAAAATGGAAATACAGATAAAGAGAAAGAAATGGTAGAAATACTCAACCAAGCTTTCCTCATCGTTGAATAAATGACCTGACAAGTCCTAAATAATTCTATGTATATTTGTTATAGTTTATTACATTTCTGTTTGTGAAATTTTAATATTAACATTTTTCTTTAATCTTAAATTATATATTTTGAAGAGTGAACCAGAGGACTGGGGATTTCTGTTTCTCTTTCAAATAAAGAAATAATAAGAAATAAATATTCTTCTCATTTCATTGTCATAATCTTACTTTCACATATAAAATACTGTCTTTCATATAGTACACTAATTCTTAGGACCGGCGCCCATACGGGATGCTGGTGCTTCAGGCCAGGGCTTTAACCCACTGTGCCACTGCACCGGCCCCTAAAACTATTTTTAAATCAATTACTATGCAGGAGGATCCAAGATGTGTGATTAGGGGAAAGACATGCTGATTTTGACCAGGGGAGGTTTACAGAAGAAAAGGGTTGACTGTGGGAATGCTGGGGCGTGCACTTGCCTGGGGAAGGCGCGATGGTGGCCAGGACTAAGCACGATGGGGAGACGCAATCCGGCTAATTGGGGCCTTGGCTTGCCTGTCCCCTGTATGTTTTCCTGCGCTCGCTCTCGCCTGCTACCCCAGAATCCGCCCGCGGTCCCAGGTAGTCCAGCCTCTCCGGCTAGCCTACTGCTCCCTCTGGGCCCCGCCCACCCCCTCGCACCCCTGCGAGCCTGGGCCAGGTGGTGGAGGCTGCAGCGGCGCCCTGCCGCTGATTGGCTGTTGCGGTCGCGGGGCGGGGCCAGTGAGAGACTTTGGACCTCGGCGGTTTTCGCCATCTTTCCCGCCAAGTCTTTTGTGAAGAGCGGGAGGCGTTCGGTGCCGTGCTGCCGCCGCCTTGGCACCTCGCAGTACCCTGCCTTCTCTCAGGTGGACAGTTGGGGTGAAGGCGAAGTCGACGACGAGGAGGGGTGCAACCAAGTGGCCCGCGACTTGCGGGCAAAGTTCTGGGCTGGGCCGTCGTCGGCGTCCAAGAGGGGTTCTCTGTTCCCGCCAGATGGAGATGGGTCGCTGGTGCAGCCAGAGAAGCGCAATGGCGTCTTCGGGCTGCTGCGGGAAGCTGAACTCTGGCTCGGCGGTGGCCGGTTCAGGTCCTTTCTATTCTGTGTTCGCTGCTGTTCGCCATCCTCCTTGCCTTTCTGCTCGCCATCGTCTACCTGGTCGTTAAAGAGTTGTATGCTGAGAATTTGAAAAGTGAAGATGGCATAGACACTGGGCTGTTAGGATTCTGGACTCTGCTTATAATATCCCTAACTGCTGGATTCTCCTGTTGCAGCTTTCTTGGATAGTGACTTATTTTGATTCTTTTGAACCAGGAATGTTTCCTCCTACTCCTCTCGCACCTTCCAGGTTCAAGAAACTGACAGGACACTCCTTCCACATGGGCTATAGCCTGGCCATTTTGAATGGCATTGTGGCTGCTCTTTCTGTAGCATGGTGCCTCATGGAAATCCACACAGCAGATTTCTGAACAGAAACCCTATATGCTGTGAGAGAATGGAGAGATACATTTCAAGTCCTTAAGGAAAATTTGCCATCCCAGAATAATGTGCTCAGAGAAGCACACACATTTATAAATGAAGCTGAAACAAAGTCCTTCCAAGACTATGTAAAATGGAAAGAATTTGTCACCACTATGCCAACCTTACAAATGATACCTAGGGATGTGCTACACAGAAATAGGGAAAGATAACCAGCACAGTTAAAGAATGTGATGGCAGAAAATGTCCTAGTAATAGTTTGAAGGAGATCCAAAACAAACAATAAGAATACACAAAAATGCAAAGACCAATTCATTAGTTACCAATAATATATTTGAATGCAAATGGACTACATTCTCCACTTAAAAAAAAGACAGATACTGCCCGGTTGGATTAAAAAAATTACGTGCTGCCTACAAGCAACACACCTCAGCAACAACAATACACATAGACTGAAACTGAAATGTTGAAAAAAGGCATTCCATGCAAATGTAAATCAAAAGCAAATATAAGTAGCTACCTTCATATCAGAATATCAGACAAAATAGACCTTAAGTCAAAACTTATTTTAAAATCCAAAGGTATATAATGATTAAGGAGTCAATTCTACAGAAATATGTGAATATTTGTACACCCAATCCTAGAGTACCCAGCTACTTAAAACAAAATAAGGAATATAAAGGGAGACATTAGCTTCAATGCAATAATTAGAGACTCTAACATCCCACTTTCATCAATGGACAGATCAGTGAGGCAAAAATAATGAACAAACAGAGCTAACCTAACCTATTAACCAAATGGATCTAATTCCTATCTACAGATATGAACATTTTATGTCACAGCTGCAGCATGCAATGAATGGGGCATTTCCCAGAATAGACCATCTTCTAGACTATAAAACAAGTCTCAATAAATTTTTAAAAATTAACTGGAATTAAACCATATATCTTTTCTGACCATAATGGAATGCAGCTGGAAAGTAGCAACATAAGAAACTCTAGAAAATATACAAACACATGGACACTGAACAACATGCTTTTAATTGAACAGTGTATCATAGGAGAAATCAAAAGGAAAATTTAAAAACTTTGAAACAAATAATAATGAAAACATAACTTATCAAAAATTTTGGATACAGCAAAAAGTAGCATTTAGTGGAAAGTTTATAACAAGTAGTACCTCAATCAAGACATTGGAAGGACATAAAATAAATAATCTAACATTGCATCTCAAGGACCTAGAAAAACAAGAAGAATCAAACTCCATATTATTAGCAGATAATAAATAATAACAATTAGAGAAGAAATAAGAAAAAATGAAATAAAAATGCAAAAAAATCAGTGAAATGAAGAAACAATGGGGAGGGTAGCACTGAGGCATAGCAGTTAAAGCTGCTGCCTGTGGTACCAGCATCCCTTATAGATGCCAGCTCAGGTTCCAGCTGCTCTGCTTCCAATCCAACTCCTTATTGATGCCCTCGGAAAGCAGTGGAAGATGGCAAAGTATGTATGCCCCTGCAACCATGTGGAATACCCAGAAGAAGATCCTAGCCTCTGGCTGTAAATTTTCTGTTCTGGTCATTGCTGCTACTTGGGGAGCAAACGAGCTGCAGAATAATCTCACTTTCTGTGTCTCTTTCTTTATCTCTCTCTCTCTCTCTGTAACTCTGCCTTTCAAATAAATAAGTCTTTTAAAATGAGAACATAAGCAATTTTTTAAACCATTGGCCCAAATAACCAAAAATCTAGAGAAGACCCAAATTAATAAAATCAGAGATGAAAATATATTACCAGTGGCACTACTGAAATGAATCATTACAAATAATTAAAAACAGCTCTATGCCAACAAATTGGAAAATCTAGAAAACAGGGATAGATTTAAGGACACATATATACTACAAATATTGAGTCATGAAGACACTGAAAACATGAATAGACTAATAACTAAGGCAGATATTGAATAAGTAATAAAGACCTTACCAACAAAGGAAAACCCAGCAGTGTTCTACCAATTTTTTTAATTAATTTATTTTTAAGGAATACAAACTTACAACTTTGGGTATATAGTTATTCTTCCCTCCATACCTGCCCTCCCACCCACACTCCCACACCTCCTCCTCCTCCCTCTCCCCTACTCCCATTCTCCATTAAGATTCATTTTCAATTAACTTGATACACAGAAGACCAACTCTATACTATGTAAATGTTTTAACAATTTGTACACACATGCATACACAAAAAAACCTGTTTGAGAACAAGTATCACAGCTAACTCTCATAATACAACTCATTGAGGACGAGGTCCTGCATGAGGAGTTAGTACACAGTGACTACTGTTGTTAATTTAACAATTAACACTCTTGTGCATGATGTCAGTGACCACCCAAGGCCCTGAACATGAGCTACTAGGCTATGGAAGCCTTTTGAGTCCACGAACTCTGTCAGTATTTAGACAAGGCCATAAGCAAAGTGAAAGCTCGCTCATCCCTTTAGAGAAAAGCACATCCTTCTTTGATGGCCTCTTCTTTCCATTGGAATCTCAAAGATATCCTTCATGTAGAACATTTTTTACCACAATGTTTTTGCTTTCCATGCCTGAAATGCTCTCATGGGCTTTCAGCCAGCCCAGGAAGACTAAGGGCTGATTCTGAGGTCAGAGTATTATTTAAAGTGATTGTCATTCTATGAGTCTGCTGTGTGGACTGCTTCCCATGTTGAAGCATTCCCTCATTTTTAATTCTATCATAATTATTAGACACTTGATCATATTTATATGGTCTCTTTAACACTTAATCCTATCCATATGTTCACTTTAACACTTAATGGCCCAGCCCTGGCCACTGTGGCCACTTAGGGAGTGAACGAGCTGATGGAAGATTTCTCTCTGTCAACTCTCTGTAATCCTTTCAAAATAAATAAAAAATAAATCTTAAAAAAAAAAGCCTCCTCCAGCATCCCTTGTTGTAGTGCCATGGCTCCTGACCCTGGCTTCCCACTGATGCCCAAGATGACAGCGGTACCGCTGCTGGTGCTTGGGTGCTGCCCACGTAGGGACCCAGATGGAGCTCACAGCCCCTGGCTGCAGCCTGGTCCAGCCCCAGCCACCGCAGGTGGCTGGGGAGTGGGCCAGAGGACAGGACCACGCCCCAGCCACCGCAGTGGGCCAGAGGACAGGACCACGCCCTTTATCTCTATCTGCCTCTCAAATAAAACAAGTGAATAAAAATGATAATTATTCTGCTACTGTTGCTCATTCATTACTAATTATACATTTGTCTATCAGGCTAAGCATGTGTGAAAGTGAAATATAGGCACATCTGGTGTCAGCTGTGGCTTCAGGTGCTCGCTGGGGGTCTTGGCAGGGACCCTCAAGGATATGGGTGGTCGAGTGCATCTCTGACTCTGTCCCCAGCTCTGTCCCCCTGTCTCTAACTCCCCCTCTGCCCCCTGTCCCCATGGTTGAGGCTGGAGAATCTGGACGAACCGGGTGAAGACCTTGCATTTCTGGGAAATTACAAAGCCTGCCCCAGCCCCTCAATTACCCTGTTTCTGAACAGAGATACCCCTCTCTCAACAGCAGAAACCTGACCAAGAACGGGGACAGCTCAAGCACCTGTGTCCTTTCCCTCCGTAGCAGGGACACAGACGTGAGCTGTGAGCCCCAAGGTGAGGCTGGGACAGGCTGGCCCCTGCCCTGGCAGGCAGCCGGTTCCCCAGGCCTTGCAGCTGAGACAGGGTGGGAGGTGACAGCAGGCAGACTCCCAAGGGAAGTGGATGAGCACTGAGGTCAGCCCCGCCCCCCAGCCGCTGACACAGACGCTGTGTGACGCTCTCTGCATCAATGGATGTGAACCTGGCGTGGCAGCCGCGGCGGGCAGGGCCGGCTTTGTCCCCCGCACAGCCTCAAGCACGAAGGCCAGGCTGCAGCCCCGGCCTCGGATCCCAGCTCTGTTCCTCCCGCTGCGTGCCCTGAACAAGTCCTCTTTTTCCTCACACCTGCAAGACAGAGGGTGCACGTGATGGTGAGGGCTGGGCAGCCACAGGGAGGCAATGCGGAGGCTGTGGGGTACTTAGACCAGTCCCCCAACTGTCCCTAGGGCCCCCTCTTCCCTCTGTGGTGCGATCCTCTGCATTCACAGAGCACCCCAAGAGTGGAGCTTTCTGCCCAGCTCCAGGCTCAGAACCACCCCTCAGCCCCATGGGGGCCACCACGACCACAGACACTCCCAACATCCTCAGACAAGGTGCAGAGCCCCAGGAAAACGTGCGTGAACTCCCCAGTGCCCTTCCAGGTGACGCCGAGGCCCTTCCCCCCACACTCCCTGCTGGGATGGATGGGCAGTCACAGGACTGCCTTGTGTCCCTGGCTGCGGCTGGGCTCCTCTGCTCACAGAGAGTCTCCTCCGTTCACCCTGCCCACCGGACAGCACTGCCCGCCCCCCGGAGGGCTGAGCCAGTCCCACCCCCTTCACCCTGCGAGGGACATAGACCTGATCCTCCACTGCCGAGCCCACCTTGTGACACGGGTGCCCCTCAGCACTCCGGCCCATGGTCTCCTTCCTGAATGGCCAGGATCTGTTCACCGCACTGCTTTCAGCTTGAGTCTGGTCATGGCTGGAGCCCCAGCCTGGGGCCACCTCGTCCCCCCGCCTTGCGTCAGATGACAGATCTCTGAACGCCCAGCAGGCACCGGGCTCTTGGTGCTGGGAGCGCAGCCTTGCGGAACAGAGCCGGGCTGAACGGAGCCGGGCTGTGCTCCCGCCCCCGCCCCACATCATAATGACCCTGAGCCTCTGCCCCTGGCCACAGCCGGCTCCCGCCGGTCACCATGGCCTTTGTGAACACAGCTGTGGTTTAAATTTAGCAAACTACCTCTGTCCGCGGGGGCGGCCTCTCTGTATTTTTATCACAGTGGGTTGCAGGAAAACGCATTTCGGGCACACGCGTGCACCCAGCTGACTTCCTGACAGCAGAACGAAGCTGCTAATTTTACAGTCTTGAACAGAGCCCAGCTGGCTGCCCGTCCTGCGTGGGGGGAGGGACGCGGTGGGGGTGCTGAGAGCCTTCCAGAAAGTTCTAATTTCAGAACGTTCCAGGAACACAGGGTACGGGGGCTGGGGGTGGTGGAGAGGGAAGGGCTCGACCCGGCAGCCAGCCCCAGTGGGAACCCTGCTCTGTCCTGACATGCACCACCAAGAACCTTCCAGAAGCATGAGAAGCACTTGTCAAGAGAGCCCCAAACTCCCGCCAGTGTGCCACATCCCCTGTCATCCTCTGTGGCTGACAACCAATGTGTACCCTTAGTTGCCCCGAACCAGGCCTCTTCCTGCCCTCTGGCCGTGGCCACGCTCCCGACGCTGGCTCTGAGTGCCTCGGTTTCCCCTGGCCCTCCTTGGTGGGGCCATCTGCGGCTCAGGCTCAAACAGGAAGCCAAGGGCGCAGTGAGAGGGGCATGGCTGTGCCCCCAGGCCTTGGACGGGAGGATGCAAGCCTCAGTCCCTCTGGGTGCGCGGGGAGAGGCCGCATCCCTGGTCTGGCAGCCCTGATGTCGCAGCCTCAGAGCCGGCCACAGGAATGGTGGCCAGCCCGGGCCAGCCCTGGGAAGGATGCTTGGTCCTACGGGCGCCCAGAGAAAGCAGGGAAGCAGCTGAAGGCTAAGGGCAGAATCGGCACCCAGGTCTGCCCTGGCACCTGTGGATCAAGCAGGACTTCAATTGGCAGGTGCTCGGCGCCAGCCACACACAGCTCTTGCAGCACTTGCCCTCTCCTCCTCCGTGACCCCGCCCTTGCTGCCTGTCTCCCGCAGGTGCCTGCCCGTGCCCGCCCTGGCTCACCGTGTGCAACTCTCACAAAGGATGAGCCTTTCCCTAAGCCACTGCGGGCTGCCTGGGGAGCCCGGCGCCCAAAGTGGCCAGCTTTGAGCTCTCTCCCTACCCTGAAAGCAGTGGACGGCCTCCCCTCTTCCCTGTTGGCTTTGGACACCAAGCTTCGGTGGTTGCTGGTGCTTCAGGGATCAAGAGGGAAGCAGGGTGTCCTGTGGCACCAGCACGGCCTGGCCAAGAAGAAAGCCACGGTGCTGGGGCCAGCACCAGCCCTCGAGCTGGATTGACCTTGATCCGAATCCCAGTCCTGTTTCTCGGGTGCTGTGTGGCCTTGGACTGGCCACCCACCCTCTTTGAGCCTCCGAACATGTCCCCAGGCTGAAGCAAAGAGGCCAGTCCCAGAGGCTTGTTGGGTTCTCCGTGAGGGGGGAAAGGCAAGGCCGGCCTGGTCACTCCTGCCGCATGGAGACCCGAAAGTCCCAAGATGGGTGGGGAATCACCTAGGTCCCTAGCTGGCCAGGGCTGAAGAAGCTGCCGGGCTCCCACCAGATCCCCACCTGCAAACCCACAGAAGCCCCAGTCCCACCGCTATCCAGCCTGTATCTGCTGTCAGTGCAGCCTGCCCCAGCCCTCCTGGGCGTGCATGGAAGAGGCAGGCCATGCACTGCTGACCTGGGAGTTTGTGAGGCTCTGGAGCGGTCTGCTCTGCACACCAGGACTGCAGCCACCTCCAGACTTCACACTGCACAGAAATCCGCAAGGCCACACTGTATGGCTACAGGGTGGGCCCCGGGCCTTCCCCAGCCATGGCCACCCGGCTTCCACAACCCCCACGGAAGGGCAGAGGACTGACTGCAGCTCACCACCATAGACCCTGTGCACCTAGCACTTCTCCAGCCTCATTGTCCAGCAGATAACAGGGCCTGGCCAGGACACCCAAAGGCTGGACATGGGCCACAGCAGCCAGAAGTGAGGAGTGCTTGTGTGGTTGGGCTCCCAGGCAGGAGGCCCCACTGTGCACCCTGCTCCTTCCCCGGGCCTCACCTGCTCCCTAGCACACTGGAGCTGGCTGGGTCCAGCCAGATGTCCACCACAGACACCTGGCCTTAGTCATTCTGCATTCCACGTCTCACTACTGGGGTCATGCACATGGGCCCTGGGTCCACCCCTCAGCCCCATTTTCCTTTTTGGTTTGCGAGATACAGAGAGACTAAGAGAGAGAGATCTCCATCTACTGCCTCAGCCCCGAAGCCTGTAACACAAAGGTCTGCACTGCCAAGGCCAGGAGCCGAGCATTCCCTCCCTCCAGGTCTCCCATGTGCTTGGGCCACCCCAGCTGCCTCCCAGGCTGCCCATCAGCAGGGAGCTGCAGTCAGCTGGGATTCGAACTCAGGCACTCCAAGGTGGGTCAGCAGCATTTAACCACCAAGCCAACGCCCACCTCCCGCCCCACTGCAGACCTCACCCCATAGCAATCCGCTCCCAACACAGCACCCACCACCCAAAGCCCCCCGCATGGCACCGCTGGCTAGGACCCTGTTCTGGGTGCCCTTGGCTTCTCCAGCCTGGTGGTCCCAACTGCAGACTTGGGAAGGTGTCCACTGGGGCACCCCGGCTCCTAGCCCACTTCAGCAAACAGCAGCAGCTCAACTGATCAGCACCATGGTCTCAGTTGGTCCCACAGAACCAAACACAGAAACAGGACACTTGCCCCTTCTCTGGGTCCACGGGGGTCCTGGCCATCACCCACATGCTGCACTCAGGCAAAGCTCATGCTGAGCAGCAGGGGGCACCCTGGAGCAGACGACAAGGGCATGGGGCTACAGGAGGGTGCACAGAAAGCCGGGGACCCGAGCTGAGAACCAAGGGCATGCACTCATGTCTCCAAGGGCGCTATGACCAGGTCCACCAGGTCTACAGCACGGGCCCCACCCCAGCCGCAGCCGGAGGCCCGTCTCCTCCGCCTTCTATTGATGGAGAAACCCATGCAATGGCACGAAGTGATGTGCTCATGGGTGGGTGAGCTGAGATCAAAGCTCTGACCCCTACCCTGGCTTTGCCCTGCCCATGGGCCCCTGCCAGGAGTGCCTTGCAGGGCATCTGGCCGCCTCCTCGGAGCCCCCAGGGTGGCAGCCCCATCGTCCTCTGCTGACACCCATGCTGGGGCTCCTCTGGGAAGCCCAGTTTTATTCTTCGGAGCTGCAGACACGGAGACGGGCAGGTGTCGTCGTGCGTCTCGCAGGTGGCCTGGCGTCTGCGGAGGCCTCGTTAAGATGCAGGCACCGATTAGAGTGGGGAGCAGGGAGGACGACGGGTGATGCTGTGGGGTCCCAGATCACACTGCAGGAAGCAGGAGTGGGGGAGGTCAGCAGGGGTCACAGGTGATGAGGAACACGTGGGTGGCAACTTTTCTCGTGCTCGGCACGCACTAGCGCGATGGCGAACACCCGCCGTTGTCCCGGGTGGTCACCCAGGGCTCACGGCCACCGCGCAGAAGTGAGACTGGAGTGGCCAGGCCGGTAGCCATAGACCGATGGGTGAGGTGGGGTCCGGGCGGGGGGCGCAGGGTGCAGGATGGGGCCAGTGCAGCACCTGCAGCTCCTTCCGCATTCAGAGACCTGCGCGCTAAGGGAAGAGAGTGGAGGCAGTAATTATTTTATTAAGGACAAGGAAATGATGTGTAATTTAATTTGAGGAAAGAACCGGGCTGCCGCTCGGATCACCGCTTCCTTCGGCCTGACAGCACCTTCGCCCTGATTCCTGTGGCGCTTCTCCAAGGAGCTTCCAACAAACTCTCTCTCTGCCTTCAGCCCCGGGTCAGGGATCCTGGCAGGAGGGGGACGGGGGAGGGGAGACAGCAGAGAGTGCTTGATTGGCAGCTGGCTGGCAGGGTCGCGACCTCAGGCCATAGGTGCCCTTGTGGAGCTCCTGGCCAGCCAGGAGCCTTCGGCCATACAGGGACCGCGGTGCTCAGCGAGTGCTTCCCCACACCCACACCCACACCCACACCCACACCCACACCCACAGATGTTCCTGCACACATGCATGTTCCCCGGGCACGGAAAATCTCCTGGGGGGGGTGGGGGGGTGGGGGGGTGGGCGGCGCTGCAGGCACACGGAGCTAAGTGGGAAAGTCCTCTGGCCGTGGTGTGTTGTTGGGAGTAGATCCGACCCTCCAAGCCAGGAGCCGGCACCTCAAAGCACCTGGGACCCTGGGGCCTGGCTGCTGAGCACCCGCGGGTCTCCACAGAGCAGCACTCGGCTCCCTCAGATGGCCCGGGCTGGATTGCGCCCCACGCGGGGGCCATGGAGTGAGGGGACCAGGCCTCCCCCGCAACCCTGTGAGCACCCTGCAGGGAGCAGGCAGATGGGTTCCAGGAGACAAACACCATGAGGAGCCCCAGACCATTGACCCCACCTGCTGAGGCTCTGACTCAGTAGGAACCTGTGGTGCCCAGGGCTCCTGAGAGGCAGGGGGCAGGGAGGGGGCAGCGACAGTGACCACAGCTCCCAGCCGGCCTGCAGGCCCGAGGGGGCATGGCCAGCGCTTCCAGAGGGCTGCACGGGAGATTGGGGGCGAACACGTTTCTGACCGGTGGAATTTTCCCCTGGGAAGGGCTGGTGGGGCTGTGACCTGGTAGAAGCCAAGAGTCCACACAAGGCATCCCTACATGGCGCCCGGTGACTCAGCACACACAGGACAGCAGGTAGGCTGTGAGCCCGCTTCCGTGGTCTCCGCTGAACTGTGGCCCTGGCCAGCCGTACGCACACGCAGGGATCCAGGTAGCCGTCACTCTGTGAGAGTCCACGCACCACGGGGGACTTCCACAGAAGACCCTGACTTACTAGTGTTATTTGCAAACTGTGCATGCTCATTTTGTGGTACACACCTAAGCCTGGGTGTGTGAGGGCTTCCTGGAGGCAGAGGCAGGAGGGCAAAGAGGGGCCCCACCAGACCAGCAGTGTCAGCATCCAGCTGGGAGCTAGAAAGCTCCTCCTCTCTTTTTCTCCAGCTCTTCGGAGGCTGCAGCAGTCCTGGTGGTGCCAACAGAGTGGACACCCTGGCCGTGCCCAGCCGCCAGCATTTCCAGTGGGCCAGCAGGGGCTGGGGGGCCAAGCTCTCCCACCAGCGTTTCCAGTGGGCCAGCAGGGGCTGGGGGGGCAAGCTCTCCCACCAGGCAAGGTCAGAGAAGTGCAGCTCCCCAAGGAAGCAGGGCTCAGGGCAGGGCTCAGCCGCAGGGTAGGGAGGAGAGAGAGGCCCAGGGAGGGGAACTGAGAGGTGGAGCCTCTGGGACCCCACCCACACTGAGCAATCCAGACAGGGCCTTATCTCTGACAGCACCCTGTGTGGCTGCCCAGGGGGCATGGCCAGGTGGGCTACAGAGTCCTGGCCCACCACGGCATAGAGAAAGGAACTGGGTTAAAGCCCATTTTACAGGTGAGTCAGCTGAGGCCAGGAGGGGCCGTGCCCAGCAGCTGGGCTCCAGGACTCAAATCCAAGGTCTCGCCTCTTCCTGCACACCCCTCACAGTCCCTCTGGCCTCTGCACAGGGCGGGGGGGGGGCGGTGACGCCAGGCGGTGGCTCCGAAATGCCTCGCTGCTGCCCCCGATGCCCGGGCAGCCCCTGCTTATGCCAGGCCTGAGCTCAGGCCCAGCCAGCACCTGAGCCTCTGCATGAAGCACCCTGGCCCATTGCAGCCTCACTAGGCCAGGCCTCTGTCTGAGGCCTGTCCCACCTGTGCCCTGAGAAAGGACACCCAGGTTGGAGCTGATGAGTGAGTCAGTGGCAGTGAAGCCACGTTACGTGGGCCTCACGCTCGCCGAGTCACCCCTGAGTTTTAGGTGGCCGGAGCTCTGTCCCAAACGCAGCACCCAGGAGCACCATGGGCATCAAGGGCTGGGCGGGGCAGGGGAGGAGGAAGGGAAGAAGGGGAGCAGCTCCATCCAGCTGCCCCAGGCCCTGGGCTCTACAGGAACCTGCCTGGCCCCGCCCCCACGCCACTGCAGAGAGCCCTCCCCTGCAACAGTCCTGCTGCTCACTGCTGCCCCCCTCCCTCCAGTGCCAGGCCTCGGGGACCCCGGCTTCCCCTTCTTCTGCTCCCTGGAACCAGCGCCTCTCCCAGGAGCTCTCAGAAGCACAGCCCCACAAGGGCACCCTGGGAACCACCAAGGCTTCAACAACCACCTCAACTCTTAGGCGCTGAGTCCCTAAGACCACGTTCATGTCCTGAAGAAGGTGGAACTGTCACACCACAATGGTCCTCAGAGCTGGGGGCTTCAGGAGCTGATGCAGCCGAGTGGGGTCATGAGAGCGGAGCCAGGGACATGGACATGGACACGGACATGAGTCTCCCAGCCTCTTGCACCATGTGCATCCCCAGGCCATGGTCAAAGCTGAGCTGTGCTCTCTGGAGGTAGGGGGCACCTCAGGGACTCCATCCCAGGGACCAACACTGAGCAACACAGGCAGCAACCTACCATGGCCAGCGCCAGCTTGGCTCTGGGGGAGCCTGCAGCCTCTGAGGGCTGGCAGTTTGGGGGTCCCAGGGGTGCAACCTGGTCGGCCTCTCTCCAGAGGCCCATCACTCAGTGGATCATGTCCATCCCTGCCCCACCCTTCCCCCTGTGGCAACAGGACACAGCAAGTCAGGCAGAAACACCTGCCCTGCTGCCATCTCTGGTGGCCCACAACTGCAGGCTCGCAGTATGCACTGGAAGTCACGCTCCCGGGCGACAGCCACTCGGGGCTGGGGCACTGCTGGCCCCAGCCTCTGCCTCAGGCCTGCTGACATCCTTTCAAGACAAAGGCCCCAGCACGGAGGCTGGGACTCACGCCACACATGGCTGGCGCTTGGGAAGCAAGATCCTGGGACCACCTGCAGACTTACTGTGTGTGTGTGACATAGCCCGTCAGTCATTCGACACACACCTGCTGTGTGCCTGCCGCAGGCTGGCCCCAGAGAGGTCTAGAACACCCAGGAGCAGGGTGGTTGGAGAGGCTCCTGCCTGTGTGCTGGGGGTCTGTGTCCCCAGGAGCATGAGACCCAGGCCCCCAGGTGTGTCCTCCACCCCACCCCTTTCCACTCCCCTCCCCACAGCCTGGGGGCACACAGTTGCCCAGGCCAACAGCTCACAAATACAAGGTTGGAGCAGGAGGAGGCCACGGGAGCCCAATGCCTAAGTGCAGGACAGGTCCCCAGAGACAAGGGCACCCGGCACTGCCAGGGCCTGCGTCTGCTGCTCCTGGGGCAAACAGCCAAGTGCCTGCTCCTAAAACCACTTCCTGTGCCGGGTGGACCCAGAGCTGCTGGTCACAGAGGCCACGGGGAGGGTGCATGGGGGTCTCCCTGGCACCCCTTGCCCCCCCGCCCCCCACAATACCACGAAGCCTCTTACCAGTGACTCTGGTCCCAAGAGGAAGTGCCCCGTCCTCTAGGCAGGCAGGTGTGTGTACATGTACACAAACACACATGCACACACACAATCACACAGGGTCCTGGACAGGAAACAGAGAGTAGGAGACGCACACACAAAGCAATTCGATGGTGTACCTGAACGCAAGAGGTGTCCACCCTGAGCTTGCAGCCTCCGGCATGGGGAGCCAGTGAGTGTCAGTTGTTCAAGACCCAGTGTGCGGGTGCTGTTGTGACAGCTGGGCTGACTGACCAACGCCAAACACCTATGCGTGCCAAACACCATGTGGCCAATGTGCGTTAACTCGTCCCAGCCCCTGGCAAGCCTACGAGACAGCTGCTATTGTTAATCCATCTTACAGACACAGAAACCAAGGCGCAGAGCAGGCAGGTGAGCAGCTGGACACTGGGGATGGAGGGGTGACCGCTCCAGGGCTCAGGCGTGCAAACACATGCCCAGTGGGAGTCAGATGGGTGGGATTAGGAAGCTGTGTGGGCGTGGGTGTCCCTGACTCTGGCTTCCAACTTCAGCAGGCAGAGAGGAGGGGCACTCAGAGAACCTTCCAGAAGGTAAGCAGAGAGGAGCTGGGCTCAACAGCGCTGGGCTTGTGGCACAGTGAGGAGAGGATTCTGGGAAACAAGTATAGCTGTGCACAGCTGTAGAGCCAGGATGGACGGAAACCCAAGGAGCCGAATCTTGGGCTCCAGCTGGGGGGTTCTGTGTGTTAGTGGGAAACGTGCAGCCTCCTGAGAGCCCCCCTACCCCAAGAAGAGGGGGTGTAGCCACGGCCAGGGGGTTGGGTGAGGTCTCAGCTGAGTGCACAAGCAGGGCAGGAACTGGGAGCCAGGGCTGAGCAGGAACCCCAGAGCTCATGAGGCCAGGGGCTGCTAGGGTCCCGGGCTCCCCTACCCCAGCACATGGCCTGAGCTTCCACAGATGCCCCCACTCTTGGAAGAGCACAGCGAGAACCTGGAGCCAGGCCCAGGGGCTGTCAGAGCCCAGGGCAGGGGTGGGGAAGATCTCACCAGCACCCAGCCAGCAGGCAGCCCTGGAGCCAACGCCCCTGAGCGCCACTCATCACTCACCAGCTGTTGCTGAACATCCAAGAAGGCAGGGGTGGGGAGGGAGGGAGGGAAGAGGGCCTGCCTGTCCACACTCAGCAGTAGTGGGGTCAGCCATGGCCCTGGTGAAAGTGCTAGGCACTAGCCAACCCTAGTGCTAGCCTAGCGCCAGTCCACCCCAAACCATTCACCTCAGAGTCAGCCTCACGACTGCTCCATCCACACCAGCACCAGCTGCCAGCCCTCCCTCTCTGTCTCCTGAGGGCTTCTCCCTGGCCCCTCCTCCATGGGGACTCACGGCTGGGCCCCACGCTGCCCCACATCTGGGTCCCCAGCCAACCCCAGACATCAGCGCACCTGCCGCCCTTTCCAGCGGCAGCCCAGCGGGCACACCCTGCATACCTGTCTCTAAGCCTGGGAGCTCCCAACCCTGGGAGCCCCCAGCCCCAGCAGCCCCAAACCCTGGGAGCCCCCAGCCACAGCCACGCTGCCCACGCTCTTGAGGCTCCTCCCTGCCATTTTTGCCAAGGTGTCTCCAATTTCGGAATTTCAAATAGCAGGGGAGGCTGTGACTCCCACACTTCTGCTGCGGCCCGGGCCCCCCTGCTGAGCCCAGACCTCTGCCTGTCCCCCGGGCAACTCCCCAGCCTCTTGCCTGCACCTGAGAGTCTGGAGGGTCTGGTTCTTCTCCCCCGCCCAGAGGAGGCAATGCTGACATGAGCCTAGGTTCCCCTGTGCCCTACTTCCCACAGCACACAGCACCCAGGGCCCTGGCCCCTGCCCCCTCTGAGCCACGCCCTGGATCAGGCCCCTCCCCCTCCCCTGCATGTCACAGAGCAGCCCGATAAGTCCTCCTCCCGGGGCCCCCACCTCCAGGCTTTCCATCTGCTCAGGCCGCAGCCCTGGGGTGCTCCACTCACGTACCACTGGCCTGGACTCTGGTCAGATGTGGTACCCAACAGCCACCGCTTGCTCACCCTCACCCGGATCTCTGCAGCCACCTCCTCCCCTGTGGCTTCTGACCTCAGCTCCATCCAGCCCCGCTCCTCTCTGCTCAAGCCTGCCGTGCCCCCACCCCCAATCCCATGCCTGCCTGCAGCAGGACCTTGGCATGGGCCTGCCTTGCTCTGCCACGCGCACACCCAGACACCCACCTGGCTTTCCCGGCATCGTTACTCCAATACTGCTGAGTCACTGAGGCCTGCCTGGGCCCTGCCACCCCACTGCCGACTCACTCATCCCTTTCCTCCATGCTATTCTAACCCTCAGTGTGTGTGCTGTTTGATTTCTGTGCCTCCCCTGGGAGGTGAGCTCTCGGGGTCCCGGGGCTGTCTCATTAACTCAGCTCCAGCCCATCACAGGGACTCCAAGGATAAGAAATGAACCCAGATTAAACATGACAATAGGTCTGATCTGATTTCATCATCATTTAAAAAAATCATCTATTATTTTTCACTTTATGTTTCTGTGTGGGAGCAAACTGTTGAAATACTTACTTAAGGTATACTAAGCTGATCTTCTGTATATTAAGATAATCGAAAATGAATCTTGATGTGAATGGAAGGGGAGAAGGAGTGGGAAAGGGGAGGGTTGTGGGTGGGAGGGACGGTATGGGGGGGGAAGCCATTGTAACACATGAGTCGTACTTTGGAAATTTATATTCATTAAATAAAAGATAAAAAAAAAAAAAAAGAAATGAACCCAGGCAAGAAAAGGAAGTGGAAAATGGAAGGTGCAGCCCCCAGCTGCAGGCGTACACCTTCCCGATAGGTTAACGCCGGCGAGACCTCAGAGACACCAGACGCGTTTATCGGCTTTTCAGCTTCCACTTTATTTTTCAGCAGACTCGCGTTACATGTCGCGAACGCCCGCCCTGTTACCGGCATTCATTCACAACTCCTTCATTCACCACTCCCGCTTACTACTGGCGTTCATTCATAACTCCCGCCTGTTACCGGCGTTCATTCATAACTCCCGCCTGTTACCGGCGTTCATTCACAACTCCGCCTGTTACCGGCATTCATTCATCACTCCACCTTTTACCAGCGTTCATTCTTTACTCCGTCTTTTACCAGCGTTCATTCATTCCTCCGTCTTTTACCAGCGTTCATTCACTACTCCCTCTTTTACCAGCGTTCATTCACTACCCCCGCCCACCGTCCACCTATTTATATATATCATTCATGGAAAACATGTTACCAACTAAGTGTGGGAAACATGCAATAACAGGATGCTTAAAGTCAAAACAGGATCTTGCAATTAGCAACGGGCAGGGTGGAAAAAGCCCAGCACTAAACTTCTTGTGCTTGTACATGTCGGGAGGGGCACAGCTGGCCAGGCTGTCCCGTTCCCCGACACCCAGCACTTGGGATCAGCTCTGCTAAGCTCCTTCACCCACACAGGACAATGAGGCCCACGGCCCACGTCATAGTTGCTCCCCACCCTGGGGGCTGGGACAGCTGATTCTACCTGTCTGTCACCTGATGACACCATGCAGCAGCCATGCACAGCATCACAGGGACCTGTGCCCGGTCAGGAAGTTTCCATCAAATGGGTGCCAAGATGGTGACAGGAACCCACCCTGGGACCTGCCTGACCTCCGCAAACCCCATTATCCTTGCTGCTCTCCGTTCCCCTGCTCACTGTGGGGCTGAGACAAGCGCTGTTGGAACCAAAGGCACCTATGTCCCCCCAAGACTGCTGGGTCCTGAATCAGCCCGCTTGCTGGCCTCCCTCTGATCAGTGCTGGGAATCCTGGGCCAACTACTTGCACACCAGAAGTACTGAGTAACAGCACCTCTCTCCTTCCCAGCCCCTGCCTCTCAGGTCTGCGTGGCCCTGGGGAGTGGCACATCCACAGACAGCTGAGTTTCACAGGTACTCTGTGTTAGGTAGGAAGTCAAATACGAGCTTATGTGTGTGTGACAAAGGCCTAAAGAGAAGATGTCTATGTCCAGCATATGCACCTCAAAGTCATCCTGATAATGTTTCAGGGGCAGTCCAGTATTTGCATCCTGCCCTGGCCCCTTCTACTGGATAACCTGCCAGGTGGGGGTCCCCGCCCCTTCTGCCTGATAATCTTCTAGATGCAGCCCAGTATCTGTATTCAAATACCCTGGTCCAGATCCTGATTCCCCAGGGGGTCTTGCTCACCCTTCCTCTAACTCAGGGTGGCGCCAGCCAGGCTTCTCTCTGTCTGATAACTTCAGGGGGAAAACTCAGGTAGGAGTTTCTAGTATTTACACCCATAAAGATGTGAGAAGACAAAGACCCATCCCCTTAAAAATCCCTGGCCTCAACCAGACTGAGCACTCAGCCCTCTGCCTCTATGCTGAGCCACCCGCCTGGCCTGGCCAGGTGTACTCCACTCAACCATGTAACCTCGCTCTGCCCCCAATCGGAGTGACTGGGCACTCTCTCTCAGGTTCTGTCTGGAGAGGTGCCCATCCATTCTTACGGATGTCCCTTCCCTAATAAACCTTGCTATTTTACTTTCCACTACTCTCTGTCTCATGCCTGAATTCTTTCTTGCACAAAGACAAGAACCTTGCCATTCACTGGTAACACTCCGTGCCCCCCAGGGTACTGACCCGAGCCCAGGAGTTCCACCATAGGAGTCCCTGAGTCCCCCAGCCCAGGCTCCCCAGGGATATTCACCACAGCAAGCACCAGGCCAAGGTCACAGCCCCCAGAATGCATCTGCCATGGGTCGAATTATGCCCCCTGCGCAATACATACTTGCAAGTGCCAAATCTTGGGGTGAGCTCATCTGGAGATAAAGTCTCTGTGGCAGGATTCGGTTATGATGAGGTCACCCTCAATTAGAGTGGGCCCCAAATCCAGTGCCTGGCATCCTTGCCAGGAGGAGCAGAGAAAATGGGGCCCCAGAAAGACAGAGGCTGATCCAGGAGGAACGCAGCCTCGAGCCACAGCTCACCCCTGATGGTGGCCACACAGGTGCAGGAGCCCCGGCCAGCATGAGCAGAGAGAACACAGCCCTGCTGGTACTTGTCCTGGGACCCCTGCCTCCAAAGAGCATGGGAATGAGCTCGCGCTGCTGCAAGGGCCCCGACTGGCAGCCGAGCCTCCCACATCCTCTGCTCGTGTTGGCCGGACTGGGCCCTGGGCACCTGTCGGGGCTCAACTGCTGGGGGCCCCAGCCCGTGAGCTCAGCTGTGATGAAGCCAAGGGTGGCCAGGCAGACACCAAGGCCTCAGGGCTCCTGTCTGAGATGGCAGCACCGGGGGTAGAGGTCTGGGGGTCAGGAGCAAGAGGTGCTGAGGGCAGCCAGGAGGAGCCCAGGTGCCTGACCTCAGCTGCCAGCGGCCAGGCCTCCCGCCGCCTCTATCCCCACCCCGGCCACGCCGTTCCTACAGGAGCAGAGAGGCCTCTGCAGGAGGGGAGGGGGCACAGGCACAAGTGGTCTGGGGGCGACATCTCCTCAGGCTCGAGAGACGCCACTTTCCCTTTATGGGAGCCAGAAGCCTACAGCCTCTGTGTGCCTGCTCAGCTCTGCCAGCTCAGCCAGGCACACACACTTGCTGGTTCAGGGAGGGCCTGGGCTCCCATCCGGCTGCCTCAGGCTCCCAGGAGGAAGCCCTAGACTGGGGGCTCACTACGCCCCAACCTGGGCATCCTCAGGCCTGCCATGGGCAGCACTGGACGAACCCCAGCTCCCCCATCCAAAAGGAGCAAATGCCTCCCTGAGCAGGCCTGGGCTCCAGGGTTCAGCCTCATGCAGCATGGAAGGCAACCTTCAGCCACTTCCATGCCAGTGCCCCTGGCCGGCGGCACCAAGGTGCCAAAGGAGCACCTGCCTCCCTCCCTCGCCTCCACCTCCACCCCTGTCTCATTCCCCAGAACTCACTTCCCACCTGGCCTGAGAGTAACCACATCACACTGGCTCGGGCATGGATGGGCATCCCTGGCCCAGCAACTGCATCTCCTGGGAAATGAGTCCCTGAGTAAACCCTACCTCAGCCCCCAGCTGCACAGGAGGTGATGGAGGGGCAGGAGCATCATCCCAGGAGGAGCAAGGAGGGGGAGCAGGGAATACAGCGGGCATGATGGTCAAGGGGAGGGGTGTGAAAGGACCCTTCTGGAACATGCCGGGCAACCCCTGGGCTGGGGCTGGCATCCCAGGGTCGGTGGGCAAGCAGCAGCATCCACAGGGAGTGGCACCTCCCCTCCCACACACCTGGTGGCTTGGCAGCGAGAGCTCCCTGGCCCCACCTTGCCCAGTAGCCTAAGCCAAGGCACCCTCTTCCCCTGCTCCCCACCAGCAGAGCGGCCCCGCACCCTCCTGTAACTCCACTGTGGCCAGCCTCAGCTTACTGGAGGGGGGAGGGAAAGACCATCAATTGCTTCCATGGGACATTCCTCAACAATTGGAATTTATGTAAAACAAAACTAAGGTAAGTGCTGGCCTTTGTCAGACCTGAAATGGTGGGTGATTGTTGGCTACATCATTCTGTGAAGATCTGAAGGCAGAGCCATGTGGAGCACCCAGCACCAGCAGCCCTGCTGGGGTCACAGCGCCCAAGGCAGCCACCTGAGGCGGCCCCACCTCCACCTGAGTGCACCCTCTGCTTGCCGTGCCCCGACCCTAGGAACGCTGGGAGCAGCAGGGCTGGAGCAACCCCGCTGGAAGCTGCTGAGGTGGATAAACACCCTGTCTGTGGCCATGCCCCTGCCCTAGATCCAGCGGCCAGGTGCGCACAATGCTCACCATACGAGACAGTCACCCACGGTGGGGAAAGGAAACCCTGCTGGCTC